TTTTCATGATAAACCATGCATGAAATGAGTTTATAAAAACATTTCATGGCAGAATAAAAATGGAAAACATTAAAAAAAATGATGAAAAAGTAAAATGATGAAATACAGTATAAACACAAAAAGAGATAGTATTATCCGTGACTTATTGATGTCCCTGCCAGAAGGCAGGTTACAAAGTGCCCTCTGGTGGTCAACACGCACCACATTCAGTACTGTCCTGTACAAAATTTCCACCATTTAGGTTAGAACCTAACAGAATTGGAGCGATTTTCCTGGCCACTTGTCAGATTTCTAACCAGCTAAGTGACTTATCTAATGCTACAGTGCACTGGGAAGAACTGTACAATCTAAATTTTCTCAGAAGAAAAACAAAAGTTGGTTTATTTAAAGAAAATGTACTGTATGCAATCTGTAATATATTTTGACAAATTTTAATAACTGATGCTTAACTAAATCCTTAGGGATTTTTGAAACAGGAATCATGAAAAGCAAACTAATATGTTTCAAATGCTTTCTAAGAAGCACATATTTTAAAAACTCATTCCATTATATTGGAAAATAAAAACATAGTATTTATTTTACCTGGGTTGTCAGTAACACCTATTCCTTTTTAATTTTTAGAAAGTTCTAGAACTTGTCTAACCTTGTTGTTGCTGTTAGGTGCCATCAAGTTGGTTTTGACTCCTAGCAAATCAAACACTGGACCGGGCAGGTCCTGCACCATCTTCACAATTTAACATCCAAGTCTACGGTTGCTGCCACCAGGTCAATCCATCTCGTTGGGGGTCTTCCTTTTTTGGTGACCCTCTACTTTACCAAGTGTGATTTCTTTCTCCAGGGATGGTCCCTCCTGATAACATATCCGAAGTATGAAAGATGAAATCTTGCCATCCGGGCTTCTAAAGAGCATTCTGGTTATACTTCTTCTAACACAGATTTGTTTGTTCTTCAGGAAGTCCACGGTCATTTTAATATTCTCCTCCAACAGCTTAATTAAAATTCATAGATTCTTCTATCATCTTCCTTATTCATTGTCCAACTTTCACAAGTATATGAGGCTATTGTTACCATGGCTCGGGTCAGGAGCACATTAGTCCTCAAATTGATATCCTTGCTCTTGAACACTTTAAGGAGGTCTTGTGCCGCAAATTTGCCTAGTGTAGTACGTTGTTTAAGTTCTTGACTGCTGCGTCCATGAGTGTTGATGGTGGATCCAAACAAATAGAAGTCTTAGACAATATCAATCTTTGTCCATTAATCATGATTTTATTTATTGGTCCAGTTGTAAGGATCTTTGTTTTTGTTACATTGAGGTGCAATCCATACTGAAGGCTGTAGTCTTTGATCTTCATCCGTATTTTAAATCTACTTCACTTCCAGAAAGCAAGTTTGTATCATCTGTACATCACAGGTTAACTAGTTTTCCTCCAATCCTGATGCTACATTCTTTTTCATACAATCCAGTTTCTTGGATTATTTGCTCAGCATAGAGACTGAAAAAGCATGGTGAAAGAATACAACCCTGGCACACACCTTTCCTGATTTTGAACCATTCAGTATTCCCTTGTTCAGTTCTAACAACTGCCTCTTGGGGTCTATGTACAGGTTCCTCATGAGCACAATTAAGTGTTCTGGCATACCTAATCTTTGCAATGCTATCCATGGCCCACCAGTGACTTGAATTTCTGATGTTCCCTTTTGTGAATTATCTTCAATAAAACCTTATTTACGTGTGCTATTAATGATGTTGTTCAGTGATTTCCACATTCTGTTGGGTCACCTTTCTTTGGAATGGGCACAAATATGGATCTCTTCCAATCAGCAGGCCACGTAGCTCACATTTAAACGTCTTGCCAGATATGAGTGAGTGCTTCCAGTACTGTATCAGTTTGTCGAAAGGTTTTAATATATATTCCAACAATTCCCGGAGCCTCGTTTTTTGCCAGTGCCTTCAGTGCTGCTTGGACTTCTTTCTTCAGCACCATCGATTCTTGATCATATGCTACCTCTTGAAATGGTTCAATATTGACCATTTCTTTTTGGTACAGTGACGCTACGTATTCCTCCATTTTCTTTTTGGTACAGTGACTCTGTATTCCTCCATTTTCTTTTTGTTGCTTTCGGCATCATTCAACATTCTTTCCATAGAACCCCTCAGCATTTCAAGTTGAGGCTTGAATTTTTTTCTTAAGTCCTTTCAGTTTGATAAAAGCTGATGTTCTTCCCTTTTCTAATTCCAGGTCTTTGCACATTTCATTATAATACTTGACTTTTTCTTCTCAAGCTGCCCTATGAAATTTTTTGTTCAGTGCTGTTACTTCCTCATTTCTTCCATTTGCTTTAACATCTTTATGATGGAGAGCAAGTTTCTGAGTCTCTTCTAAATATCCATTTTGGTCTTTTCCTTCTTTCTTGTCTTCTTAATGACCTTTTTCTTTCTTCCTGTATTATGTTCTTGATGTCACCCTACAACTCTTCTGGTCTTTGATCATTAGTATCGAATTCAACAGATCTGTTCTTGAGATTCAGGCAGGATATATTTTGGCTCTCATGTATTTGTTTTAATTTTCTTCAGCTTCAGTCTGAATTTGCATATGAGCAATTGTTAGTTTGTTCTATAGTCTGCCGTTGGTCTTGTTTTGACTGATCATATTGAGTTCTTCCTCTGTCTCTTTCCACAGATGTAGTCAATTTGATTTCTATTGTATTCCATCTGGTGAGGTCCATGTGTATAGTCAACTTCTATGTTGTTTAAAAAGGTATTTGCAATGAAGAAGTGGTTGGCTTTGCAAAATTCTATCATGCAATCTCAAGCACTGTTTCTTTCACCAAGGTCTTATTTTCCAATTACCGATCACCAGTAATTTCCAATCACCAGTAATTATCAATACATCTTGATTGCAAGTTTGATCAATTGTAGACCAAAAAAGTTGGTAGCATTCTTAAATTTCATCATCTTTGGTTCTAGTGGTTGGTGTGTAAATTTGACTAACAGTGGTATTAACTTGTCTTTCTTGTAAGCATATGGATATTTTCCTATCACAGACATCACTTTATTTCGAGATAGATCTTGAAATGTTTTTTTATTCTGACAGTGAATACAGTGCTATTCCTCTTCAATTCCTGGCATACTAAACCATATGATTGATTAAAAATGGCCAATATCAATCCGTTTCAGCTCACTAATGCCTAGGATATTGATGTTTGTGTGTTCCATTTAATTTTCTGACAATTTCCAAGTTTCCTAGTTTCATACTGTGTACATTTCCATGTTCTGATGATTAATGGATGTTTGCTGTGATGTCTCATTCTAGGTTGTGCCCCATCAGCAAATGAAGGTCCCAAAAGCTCTACAACAGTCACAACATTCTGTTCAACTCCACTTTGAGGAGGCAGCTCTTTCCCAGCTCTCTACTGAGTGCCTTCCAATTTGAGGGACTCATGTTTGCACTATGTCTGACAACATTCTGCAGCTATTCAGAAGGACTTCATTTTCTGGCACTATAGCTGACAATGTTTCGCAGCTATCAGTAAGATTTTCAGTGGCTATAATTTCCAAAGGAATCTACTTCTTTTTCCTAGTCTGTCTGTCTTAATCTGAAAGCTCCACTGAAAACTGCCCATCATAGGTGACACTACTGATATTTACAATACAGGTGGCACAGCCTTCAGCATCATAGCAACATGCAATCTGCCAAAGTACAACAAACTGACTGATGAGTGGTATACTTGTCCACTGACTATTCCTTCTCTCATAAAGTGTTTCATTTATCCTTACTCCCTTACTTTTAGCAGATCACACCCTCATTCACAAAACCAGGCCCCTAGATGTGAAAAACACCATCAGTTACCCAGCTTTCAGTATCTTATCCTTCTTCCACCCAATCACAGAAGACGGGGCCCACCTCCTCCTTTCAATGTGTGATGAACTATAACTGTCTAAGCTAGGATACAATAAATTTCCCACATTGGTAAAAGTTGAGAACAAACCCTGCACTGCATTTTGCTGTACAACAAATGTGCAGATCAGTAACTCAAAAAGTAAAAAGGCTCAGCATGTTCAGAACATATAGTGTGACACTCTGCAAACTTTTTATCTTGCTTTGGTCACCACCCAGTCTTGGTTTCTTCCAGACTATTCCCTGATCTCCTAAAGGGTTTCATCTACCTCTGCTCCTTTACTTTAAGGAGCCCTGGTAGCATAGTTGGGCTGCTAACCATAAGGTCAGCTGTTCAAATCCAGTAGCTGCTACATGGGAGAAAGGTGAGGCTTGCTGCTCAGAAACCCTCAGGGTTGCTATGAGTGGGAACTTGATGGCACACAGCCACAGCAGCAACTCCCCTACTTTCAGCAGATCACACCCTCATTCACACAACTAGGCCACCTGATATAAAAATCCATCAATGTCCCAGCATTCAGTATCTCACCCTCCTTCTATCCCATCACAGGAGAAGTGGCCCACCTCCTGTCCATGCCTGATACACTTTAGGTTTAGATAGACAATATGGTGGGAAGGTGCCCTAGCGGGTAAAGAACTTGATGTGGGAACCGAGTAGTTCAATGTGACTAAAATCTTGTGAGGGTAAAAAGCACTGGAGAAAGACAAGGCTGGATACAAGACAGAGGAGGTCTGAGTCGGGAGGGTACAGAATGGCAGGTGAAGGTACATAGACCTTATTATGTAAGCAGAAGGCCGTGGGGCAAGAGAATAGCCTATTCAGATGTAGCCTCTGGGCCAGCTCTGGGCAAGAGAAAGGTGAGTGAGAGGAGAGGCTGCTGAGAGAAAATGCAGAGAGGAGACCACTGCTAGATGCTCCCCGGGGCAGTCACGTCCTTATCCAGGCTGACAGCAGACAGACGGAAGGGAGATGGGTGAGAAGAATAGTGGGCAGGTGGACTTCACACAATCTGGCCAAGTCTATCAAGAGGCATTATAGCTAAATAAGAGAGAGTTGTATTTGGTACATTTTTCACAGAATGAAGTTCTTTAGAAACATACCTGAAAAACAAATAATCACATGATTTGTCCCACATATAGTCATCATAGCTTACTATGCAGAAATCACAGGCTACACAACGCAGATGGTCACATGCTCTGTTCCAAGAAAAAGAATCAAACATAAAACATTACTTGTGCTTAAAAATGACAATACTGTGATTTTTTCATACTTTGTATTTTAGTTATTATATCACATATTACAGATTACTGAAGAAACAACAGAAAAGGAAAGATGAACATGATTAAAAATTTTTGTACTAAAGGACATATTTTTCAGATGAAATTTTTTACACAACTCTTTTACTGAGATCTTGCACATTGATATACATATATTGTATATACACATAGTATATTGATGAACATAAGAAATAAATGAAAAAAATCTAAAGATGGGTTTTTTAAAAAAAGAAAACCTTTTTCATTGCTTATGTTTATAGAAAAAGTGAAGCCAGAATCTGGAAGTGAGTGAAGAACAGACACAAAATGGGACTTTTAGTGCGCTTCTAGTTCACATTAAGCCCAGAGGAGATCTTTAGTTAAGCCTACTTCTTTATGCATCCTTTCCTATTAATTTACTATGTTGGGTTTGCACCATGTAGAGGAAATTCCAAATTTTAAGGGATACCTCTGTAATAGAAATTTCCACATTGTACTGAAATGGATGTTTCCTCCATAAGTTACTTCAGTGGTGGGATCATATCTTATCAGTTTTTGTTTCCCCACTACTTGGCACAGTGTATTCATTCACTCATTTACAAAAAAATAAAAAATAAAAAAATCCAACGAAAACCAATAGCTTAGGCACAGTTTTAGAGTTTATGATATACCATTGAACTAAACCGATAAGGATTCTGTCTTTATGGGATTTAGATTCTAGTGAGAGAAGAAATGAGCAATATTCATTAGCAAAACCATGTAGTATGCTTTCAAGTGAAAAGTACTTCGAATGAAATAAAAAGTAGAGCAGGGTGAAAAAAATCTGGGTGTCCTGGGTGTGGGTGAGCTGCACTTTTAATAGGTGGTCTGCATAGACCTCACTGAGCAGTTTCCTTGAGGGGCAGCTGTCAGATGAGTGGGGTTAGGGACATGTTCAAAAGGGAGAAAAATCAACACGCTTTTATGTGGATGAGGAAAATCCAACGATGAACAAAACTGATGATAGAGAGTAGGGAAAACTGTTAGAATGAGGCGTGGCATACACTTTCATGAATGCCTTAGAAATTGAAATGCCAAGGATTCTCAGAGCACAATTATGCATATATTACATAGCAACTGTAGGAGAAAATGATAATAATAGAAAGTTAAAACAGAATTTGTGGTTTGTATAATAATTTTGATTTTCTACAAAGAAAAAACGTTCTTCCATTGTTTGATTGAAACCAGAATAGAGATATATTTGATGACCTAAAAATTAAAAGAAAATAAAGGGTTTTTAAGATACCAAAAACAAAGTGATTGAGCAGAGTAAGAGATTTTAACATGAATTCAATGGTTGAACATTTATACTATAGTGATTGCTTGTCAAGGAAAGCAAACCTGCAGAAAACTGGGCAAAAGATATAGACAGGAAATTTACAAAAGAGGAAAACCAAAGAACCTCACTAGTAAAGACAGCATAGACTAGTAGTTGAGAGCATGGGCTCTGAACACAGATGGTACAAGTTCAAATACTGACCACACTAGCTGTGTAACCAGTCACACAGCTTAACTGTGATTTAGTTTCCCTAGTTGTAAAAAGCGGATAACACAAGAGCTTATACACATTACAAAAGTATTATGAGAATCTAACAAACTAACATCAGTACAGTGCTTACAATAACAACTGGCAGATAATATTTGATAGTTAAAATACTGTATTTATACTATAAACTATAAATGACATTTAAAGTAAATTTAAACCAATTAGCAAAAAATATCACTCTCATTTATTTCTGGTTGCTATTATAAATTGTTATAACCTTCTGTGAAAAATGTTGACCTTATTTTAAATTATACCTAGTTGTTGTACTAGCAACCAAGAACTGTTATATATGAATTAAAGCACTGATAAAGGGAGTCCTGGTTTGGCACTGTAAGATAAGCAGTAGACTACTAACTGCAAGGTCAGTGGTTCAAACCCATCAGCCGCTCCTTGAAAATCCTCTACAGGGTGGCTAAGAGTCGACAGCACTGCACAACATGTTGTTGTTGTTGTTAAGTGCCGTCGAGTCGGTTCCGACCCATAGTGACCCTGTACAGGGTTTCCGAGGGTATAAATCTTTACGGGAGTAGAAAGCCTCATCTTTCTCCCGCGGAGTGGCTGGTAGTTTCGAACCGCTGACCTTAAGGTTCGCAGCCCAATTCGTAACCACTACGCTACCAGAGCAACATATAAGCATGTATTTCAAGAATGATTATTGTAGTATTGTTGATGTGGCAAAAAACTGGGTACTACCTGATACCTATTAAGAGCTGGGGGAAACGGAGTAACATGCAGTATACCAAGGGGCTTCAGAAAGTTCTTGGAAAAACTCCGTTATCTTTTTTCTTTCCTTAAAGCTTTTATTGTCAGTTGAGTGATAGTCTACATCAGTTTTGCACTCAACCAGTTGCAGCTTGTCTCACTGTAATGATTACAATCCCCTTTTTTGTTGTACATAAAAACATGCAGGAATATATGATTGTTTAATCAACCAAAGGGCCCATTTTGCAAACTGGCCCCCTGCCTGTCAGCACACAGCCTTTATCTTTCCATGAGTCTAGAGTCCTTAGATGCTCTATGTCTCCATGCTATGGTCTCTGCCTTCAACTCTGGTGTCTCTGCTTCTCTGGTGAGGATCACACGTTCTGCTCATGCTCTTCCCTCTTGCTGGTCCTAGGGTCTTCTGTTACTGGAATATAAGATTAACTACTCCCCCATTTTTGTTACACTTCTTCTATCTTTAGAACTGTGACATTCACAATTAGTCATGATAGCAATTACTATTAAATCAAAAGAATCCTATCCCCATCTCCTTTCACCTTACTTATCTAGACAAGATGGAAGCTATTCAGTGGGGATTCTACCTTCCCCCATTCGCTCTGAAACTAAACTCTTATGAAAACTTGTAAGCCAGCCACTTTGTGCCTTTACAGCCACCCCCTGCCCCCCTCCATTTTAGGTAGCCAATGTCTGAGTTGCCTGTCCCTATCAACACTGTGTAATGAGGGGACATGTTTGATCCTTGATTTGAAGATTCCTTCCCTCTTGGTCGGTATTTTGTGCTATTACATCTTTAAGATAAGGTCAAGTTCATCAAATTGCAGCAATTTATATTTGCTTCCTATATCAAATTTGTCTTCCTCTAGTGGAGTTTTGATCATCAGGCCACCCAAGCTAGGTCAAATGGGTACTATCTGAACGTTTGGGAGTTCTTGTGCACCTCCTCCCACTTCATATCCTCTGGACAGTACTGCTTTCAGCTCTAGTCCCCAGAGGCTAGGTCAATGGCCATGGGCTCAGTGGTTCCCAAGTCTCCTCAAACTTCAGACCAACCAGCACTTCCTCTTCTCTCTCACATCTCAAGGTCGACAGGAGTCCATAAGTTCCGTTGTTTTGTCTTTTTCCATTAACTTTTTGAAGGAACCTCGTATTAGGCAATTAATCAACAGAATGATTGAATTAGTGACCTAACGGATGTCCAAAGCAAGGTATGCAGTAACATACACAATGTGATCTTTTATAAAAACAGCCCCAAATTCCTGGAAAACCCACTGCCATCAAGCCAATTTGGACTCACAGAGACCTATCGCGTTTCTGAGACTGTAAATCTTTACAGGAGCAAGCAGACTCACCTTTCTCCCATAGAGTGGCTGATGAGTTTGACCTAGTGTCCCAAATTCCTGTACAGGTATGTACAAGTTTCTCAGAACACGGAAGACCGCTTAGGAACGTAGAAGGGTATGTACTATGCAGCTAACACTGGTCGCCACAGGAGTGGCAGGTAAGTAAGGGAGGGAGGCAGATTATTATTTTTCTCTTCATTTACTTTTAGATTCTGGTTTTACTTTTTTCTATAAACATAAGCAATAAATTAAAAAAAAAAACTTTACATTTTTTTTCATTTATTTTCCTCTAAAGTTCTGGTTTGTTGACTTCAAAAAAATAACTATTTTTTGTCCTGAAAAGTTTCCTTGAGAATGACTGCTTTATATTTAAAAAAAAAAAAAAAAAGATTAATTATAGTAATAATGAAACATTTATAATATGTATACATTTCATATACAATTCCATGTTTTCTTTCAAACTACTGGCAATTTATGAAGTTGCATTTGTACATGTGGAAATTCGGCACAATTACATTCGGACACATTTAAATTGAGATTTTGAATGTACAAGTCAGGAAATGCAAAATGATGGTTCCCAAAGCTGCCATCACTTGCTTTCTTATGCATATGTAGTTTATGACATGATTGTACAGAGTGTTAACTTTAATGCCTTAATATATATGTGCAATTTGGCTGAATTATTGCTGTTGTGGGAACTATAATTTTGAATTTCCTGACATTTTGTATGTGTAAAATCTCAACCATAATGTTAAATACAGCATTTTAATTTAATTTAAAATTCAGTAGTTTATTCAAATCTATTCACACCATCACATTTTCCTACAAACACGATCCTGTGAGAAAAGTAAAACTTACTTGCAGCTAAGAAATCATTCAGCTGTTTCGATTCACTCTTGGATCATAATTAGTACCAGTCTACGGAGTAATCCAGTCTTGCAAGTAGTTTAAAAAATAATTCGCAGAGTACAATTCAATTTGGCTTGACAATACCACACTGGTCTCAAGTAGACTTACGAATGCCACCACATTGCTAGCAACTACTCTTTCTCCTTTCCACCAGCTGGGTACAAGAATCTAAAGTCATTCACTACTACCCTCCTCAAACCAGCGCTTTGTCCAGAAACCAAACAAACAAATTCAATGGGAGACAGGCAGAATATACTCAGCTTCCCTTATGTCCTGAGTATGTAAGCCAGTGATTATTTTCAAGGCTTAAATATACTTTTCTTCCATAACTATAGGAAGGGGTTTCAAAAAATTTATGGAAAAATCTCATCTTTCAATTTCAT